CATCGATATTTTTGACATGAATCATTTCGCTCATTAGCAGTAAACAGGTGTTTTCAAAAAATAGAATGGCTGAAGGTAATATGGGCTGCTTTCAGTTTACGGAGCACTAAGTCCATGGAGAGTGAAGAGCCCTCCCTGTGATCAGTTACCCGGCTGCAAATGGCTCACCTGAATATTAAATCCCATGATGTTATTGAGATCTGACATTCTGTCAGCAGGGAAAGATGCTATTGGAAATAGGTCTCACCTGCAGAGCTGGACACCATGTCAGCAGTGTTCTCTCTATATATATTGCCATGACCTAGGAACTGATTAGCCCAGCAGTCCAGCCAGCTCTTCATCCTGCTTAAGTGGTGACCAAACTTCCAGACTTGTTGTTTGACTTTTTTTAAGATAAGAAACTGGTTTTTCACCAAAATGACCAGTTGGTTTGATGAAATTTTAAGGTTCACTTTGATTCACCTCCTGGATTTTGGTCAGAAGCATTGTTTTTTCTTTTTGAAACTGTACTTCCTAATAATATCACCACTGAAAAACAACCAGTTATTTTAAGACCTTTTCTGGATCTTTTTTAGGTAACTAATATTTTCTTTTTAATAATCCTGTTAAAAATGGTAGTTTGAAAATATATTTTGTAGTGGGAAAATATATTTGCTTGGAAAATTTGTCATTTGGCAAGAGTTAAATCATAGAAGTTTATTAGCCTTTTTAAATTATGTACACAACCTTCACTCAGAGAAGTCTGGTGATGCACGGTTTAGGTCACGGTAGACAAGACACTGACTCATCTCAGTTTTTCTTTGATGCATAGAATATGATATCTGATGAACTACTGTATAATAAATGGTAAACACTTTCTGTAGGACAGACGTATCTCAGGTGTACAGGAATAGCTAATAATTAGTGCCAGTAAATCATTGTAGCGCAAACCACAAACATTATCATTCAGTTTGTAATTTACCCCTGATGTGGGTACTTGTTCTTCTTAATACTTAATATGTCTGTTTATAGAAAAGTTGATTGAGATAATTAGCAGTAAAAAAGCTAAGGTAACACATCTATGGTAACATTTATATTGCTATCAATTTTGTTTATAGCAGCCTAAAGAGCAATACTGAAATTAGAAATTAACTACAATTAGCAAATAAATTGAGTGTCTCTTGGAATTACTTGATCATGTCTTAAAATGTTGCACAGCGAAGCCAAGTCCCTGGGCTGTAGCAGCTGTGATGAGTCGAGGAGGACAAGAAGCTGAAGCCTATTTGCTTCTCTGCTTCTGCCGATCAGCTGGAGCTACTCCTGTGCCCAGCCCAGGGCATCTTTTGAACCTCTATCCACCTTCTCTGCCCTCGGTGGAGCCTGAGCCGTTGCTGCACGCTGCAGCCTTGGGGAGTGCATGCTGAGACGCTAAGGATTTGCCTCTTCATGGGGGAAAAGGAGGCTGAGTGTGCTTTTCAGCGACGCACACCCTCATAGGGAGCAGCTCAGAGAGACCGTTCTGCTTCTGCGTTCTCAGTAAATGAACCTTGGGGCACACGTGTAATGTTGGCAACTCAGTATGAGACGAATAACTTGGATTGGAAATGTGTTGTTATCCCAGGAGATGAGTCATAGATGTGGAAGTTGGTTTCTTCTGATTGCCTGAAACATGTCAACTTGGAGGGATTTGGGCGTAATTTTACGCCCGCAGGTAGAAATAGTTTGCTTCCCATAGAAAAGCACTCTCAGAACTCTGCTTGAAAAATGCTATATAGATGCATGTAATTATTTTTCTGGCATAATTTCATAGTTTGGTGTGGAAAGAAATGGGTTGTTTACTACTGTTAAAATGGGTCATTAAATGCAATTTTGAAGATGAAAAGAGAAAGAGAATCAACCAGTTTCAGGGTCAGCCACTGACTCACCTCTCTATCTGTTCCGTGCAGTAAAACTTCCCTTGTTCTTTCATCTTTCATTGCTTTTAAGAGACATCTTGCAGCTGGACACAGGCAGAGGGCGGTTTTCTGAATCACACGTGTCTTTTAGTTCTCCGTCTAGTGGGGCGAAGTTGCTGCTAAACCTCCTCATCCTCTTGATTAAGACACAGGTCATGAGTCTTCATCTAAATCTCACGTGACTGCTTTTAGGATCTTGTCCTGTTTTGAGGGCACATATTTGGTTGTACTCCTGAAACTCTTTCATTTTGTGTGAGTTTAAGTAATCATTGGGCTGTAAAGGGAGAGGTGGACAAGGGCTTCGCTCTGTACTCAGCAGAGCACTGAAAGGGTGTGAAGATACAGAGTCATTTCTGTGCTCCACTGAACAGCAACTAATCCTCATGAAGTGAAACAGGAGACCTTGTCTGGGCTGAAAAGAAATGACCGACAGGCGAGCAAGTGTGGCATTTATCTGGGATACGGAGAAATGGTGGCATGAAGATGTACACCTGGTGATACAGGACTGTCTAACTGCCTCCGTGCCCCATCCACTTCTCTCTTTGTGGGATTGGAAATTCCATCCTTATCCAAGGAAACATCCCCCACTAGTAATAAAAGCTACATATTCCCAGAAAAAAAAAATAAAAATCCAAGCATCTTCATAGGAAGCAAAATTCCCTTGAATATTTCCTGGCTGTTTTGTTTCCTTCCTTCCCCCTGATATTCCCAGAAAAAAAAAAATAAAAATCCAAGCATCATAGGAAGCAAAATTCCCTTGAATAATTCCTGGCTGTTTTGTTTCCTTCCTTCCCCCTCTTCAGCAGATTTTGTCTCTTTAAAGAGCAAAATGGGGCTGAGGAGTAGGGGAAGGAAGTGACAGGGTGTAAATGTAAAGCAGTCTAGAGACTGCAGATGGGGCGGTCACACCACGGTGCAAATCCACTCAGTGCAAATCCACGCCGAGTGTGAGGGATCCGAGCTGGCAGGGTGAGCATTATCTGGCCTGAGGCTGCTGCTGCTGCCTTTTTTTGTTGTGTTTTCTTCAAAGCCAGGTGTCTGAGTTCCCTGTGGATTTCATCTGGGGAGAATTTATCGCTGATAAATAACTGTTTGTGTTGAGTTTACAGATGCACTAAACTGTTTCCTTTAATGTTGCAGTTTAGTACCTTTTCCCTTTCAGGTTTGCATGAGCGCTGGCATTTGAATGAAATAAATCTGTCACTCAGATAATGTATTTGCCTTGCAATATATAAATAAAAGTTACAAGGTCATTAGCCATATCAAGAGAAAGAAAAATACGCTGTTCATTAAATAGCTGATTTCCAGGATAAGTTGGGCAAATAACAGTATACTAAAGTGTACTGCTCATTTCCCCTTCTGATCATGAAAATCAATTAATTCCTTTCTTTTTTTGTAGCACTTCCCCTTCGCACTGGAAAGTCTCAGCCTTCGTCAGCCCAAATTTATGAGCAATATGTTTTTCAGTGTATTTCATTCATCAAATGTAAATTCCATCGGCTGGTGATTACAGAACTGTTTGGGAACCAGCAAATAAATATTATCTAACAAAGTATTAATATAAAAAAAAGACCAAACTGAAAGAAAAGATTTTATCTGCTGCTTCCCAAGCAGTTTATCTTTGTCCCTGAGAAGGCAGGTTAGGTGGAAAACTGCACCAGTATCATTCTGGAGGACATCTTGTCTGAAAATGTGCTCTTACGCTCAGTAAAAGACAACCTTGGAAAGCAATGGATTATTGCTTATATTTTAATATCTTCCCTTTATTTCGCTAGACTATAGTACTAAGTGCAGACCTGAGGCAACTGAAACGCATAAGCTTTGCTCACCCTGCATCACCCCATGTCTCGCTCATCTAAAGAGACGAGTCATCTTTGATTCCTACCGCAAAGTTTGGACAGGAAATAATCAACAGGAAAAAATTGCACAATATGGATATGGTGATGTTGGGGACAGTGGACTGATACAGTCTCCCCTCAGACCCTTTTAACCATCTTCATCGACTCAAGGGTAGAGAGATAAGTGATCATTTACGGCTCTTATGTGACCGGGCTGCAGGTGACAATATGCAGAGTAGTTGCACCAGGGGTTTCTCTTTCCATTGCTGCCTGGCAGGGAAGCAGGTCAGAGGCTCTGGGTGAGAAATGCATTTGCTGTGCTCACATCCACTGCCAAGTCGAGCAGTAACCCCTGTGCTAAACAAACGCATTTTGGTTAAAATATGTCTTTATTCTTGGGTAAAATTTCCATGGGATGTCCTGTACCAACCAGGTAAGTCAGTGCTTGTTTCTTCAAAAAAAGAAGGTGGGGCAAAGCGTGTTTGTGAAGGGAGAATTGCTGTGCTGAAAATCGGTGAAGCCTGCAGGGGCTACGTTAAAAAAGAAAAAAATTAATGACTTGCAATCAAAGTCTAAGCTTCCGTGATGAGAAAATAAGTGGGTTTCCATGCTTTTTTTCCTGTTGGTGTTGTGCACATGGTAATTTGTTTCCTTCTGTTTCCCAAAGGTAACATTCAAACCCCCACATAAAAGACTGTGGTGCAGAATAACTCATCTGAGGTGCTTGCGTACACTTGATGTATATCATGTTTTTCTGGCCATGACTTTTAAACTATTAAAAGTTTGGTTGTTGATTTGGAGACTGGATGTGGTAACCCCCACGTATACAGTGCCAAGAGCAGCCGGATGATACAACTGATTTTTGTTGAAGCTTCAGTAACAAGTGCTGGGTTCAATTAGTCTCTGTGGTAGAGGTTACCACCTTATAATGTGTCTTCTGCCTAACTGTTCCATGAACAGAGACCTTATGGGAAAGGACTTGGGTATCTACGGCATCTAAACTTACATACCTAACATAGCCAGCTGCACTCTCCTTGGACTCCTCTATAGTCAATGTGCAGGCAGAGGGTGTTCACCCCCCCAACAGGTAAATTGGGTGATCATTCCAAATTGTTTGATAGTAGCCATCCCCCTCAACTAGGGAACACTGTACAAAAGAAGCAGTTGTATCACCTTGAATAGAAAAGTAAAAAAATCACAGAACTGTTTTTTCCTGCAACTCTCGCAGGTCTGGCAGTGCGGAGGCAGCATGGAGGTGTTGCCCTGTTCTCGAGTGGCACATATTGAACGCACAAAGAAACCCTACAACAATGACATCGATTACTATGCAAAGCGCAACGCCCTGCGGGCTGCTGAGGTCTGGATGGATGACTTCAAGTCACACGTTTACATGGCGTGGAACATCCCCATGGCAGTAAGTATGGGTCATACGCTCTCCTCAACAGAACCAGAAATGTGGATGGCTCTTCTTACTTAGATCTTGGAGGTGAAGGATATTACTACAGTTGTATAAAATGGGCTAAGCTTAGGGGGAAGAGCTCGTGTGTTCATGCTGGTGTGTGCTTAATACAGAGTTCTGCCATATAAACCTGCTTCCTCGGTGTAAGTTTTGTGGTACACTCAGGAGCGGTGACACAGATTTATAATTTAACTAGAGCACGATGTTTCAAGTTTATGTGCTTCCTCAGAAGTCGTCGTTAATTTGGGATGCCATTAAACTTTGAGGTGTTCATATGCTACAGTGGTGAGGTCCATAAATAAATATCATCATTCACCGTGAGACTCGGTAGACCTCACCAGCATAAAAACCAAAATATGTGATAAAAGAATCACACATTAACTGGCTTTATTGTCTGCAAGGCTGGAAGTTGCCATGTGGACATACTCTGTTTCTTACTGTGCACAGGAATTGTAGATGGCATGTGGGGCCTCTAGGAATCCATGTAATATAAATATTAGATAAACTGTAGGTTCAGTTTATCACTTTATTCTGTAAGTATATCCATGCTACATCTCCACTGAGCATAATTCTTGGAGAGAAGAGATATATGTTATATCCCAGTCAGGTGGAAGCTGACTGCTGCTGTATTCTTTAGTGGTATTTGCATCCGAATTATTCATGGGCACAGGGAGAGCAGCAGAGGGGAAGCTACTCCAATCTGTAGGTAATGATGGTTTAGTTAACCCTTATATGAGAGGCTTGTCTAAGGTTGATTGAAGTAAATTGAAATAGGAGCTTTCCTATCAGAACAGGAAAGTATGCCAACCCAGTAGTGTCTTTGTGAATATTCAGTTGTGATCTAGAGTCCATCGAAGTCACGGAAGCCTTTTCAAAGGCTTCATTGGATTTGGTCTGTGTCTTAAATATATGCTTTTACTTTGGTACCTAGATACCCATTTTTGTTCATTCCTGTTACAGCTTTGAAAATACATACCCATAAAGGAGCAATGTTTCCTCCTTCCCATGACATCTGAATATGTTAGCTATCAGCACACGTCCCAGTTTCACTTACTGCTGTTCAATATTGGACTCACACTTGGTGCGAGGTCTCTGTAAAGATGTGTTTTGGTGATTTCTTATGGCATGAGAGGTAATGACAGAGAATTATTTTGCCTAAACAAGAAGCAATACTGCATAAGTCCTTTCCCACACAAGCTTTTGTGGTAGTAGGAGGAAGATGAAGCAGTGTCCATCTAAGTTTTTAGGGGCATTTTGGTCCTGCCTACAACCATTCAATAAAATGATTGGTTTGAAATAAGAGATGGAAAAGTAACCTCGGTCAGTTGGTTTGGTTGATGCCATCTGCAAATGAATTCTGAGAAAAGACAAGATATTTAAATAAGCGTTTACACCAAAACATGATTTCCTATAATCTATCTTAGATTACTTGCTGATGTAGTTTTCTGCACTGAGCTGTACAGCAGTGCTTTAAAAAAAACCACAGGCACATCTACATTAGGAGACATAAAATCAGCAGAAGCACTTAACGTTAAAATTTTCTTCCCATAAAATAAATTGATTTATAAAATGTGCGTCATAAAAATAACCCTATTAGCTCTCAGGAAAAGGAAGGTAGTGTTAGAGTTCACAGAGTTATTCTGCTGTAGTGTTCAGTCTAGATGACTAAGAAGTACCATACTGGTACAAGCCATAAGAACCTCCTGCAGAACTAGAAACCTTACTGCCCGGTTAAAAAGAATATGTCCACATACTAAATTTTGTAGACACTTCATTCTTGTACCATCACACTGTAACCCACAGATGATGACTGCAGCTAATGCAGAAGTAAGCACAGCGTTGTCACAGCCGCTCAGTTTGCTGCTCTTGTGTTCCACAGAAATGGCACTGCAATCAGGGCTCTGTATTGCTGCATTTTAGAACAGGGCAGAAAGGAGGCAAGAAAACACGAGTTTTCTCCCAAACTGAAACCCATGCAAATTAACCCTTTCATAGCTCTCACTGTCTTGTTCACATCTCGCTCCTTTCCAAGCCCTTGAGGATCTGTGCATAACTTGAATTTTGATTAGCAGATGATCTGTGGACACATCTGCAAGATCATATCCCTATAAGCTTCAGCAGCAGGTCAGCATGGCTTTATTTTAGTTACCAAATATTTGATTATGTCCCTGCTTGTGATCTATTCCTCAGCAATTTTAGTGATAAAGGAATCTTATATTGAATGATTTATTGTACTGAGTGCTTCTGAGAATTGCTCTCCTTCTATGTAGCCTGAAGTAGTACGTAAATTAACATTCATTTGGATGGATGCTGCATAGAGAGCTCATGACAAAGTATGCATCAACAAGCAGCAGTGAGCTCTGCAAACTCTTTATGTGGCAAATAGAAAAACCTGTTCAGTATTATACTTGTATTCTCTTGTGAAAATGAGGCATCTGTTGGGGATTCTAATAAACTCTGAGCTAACATTTGCTGCTGCTTTGTAACCCTGCACTAGACATCATTTGTAAAATGTACAGAAACCTTTCTGGAGGAAATGTACGAGGCACTTAAGACAGAGCCAAGTGAAACTCCCCAGTTTCCGTCCATTTGATTCATACAGTGTCGGAAAAAGATTTTTAGATGAGGTAACTCTTACTGTCTTACTGTTGAAGTGTGATGATTTATAGTGGTTTAAATCAACAGACACTACCTCAGAACCTGGCAGGTTTTTAATGGCTGAGTTTGATCATGTTGATTCGACTCTTCCAGACTGTGTTTTTCATGGGATTTGTATTCAAACAGGAATTAGATTCTGAAGCAAAGTTAAAAAGAAGGTTTTTAACTGCATTTTGTGGCTCAAGTCTGCAAATGAGCTCCAATTCAAGTAAAAACTGAAGGCTGGTCTATGCAAATATTTAATAGAACTTAATGACTTTTTGAGCAGGTCTCCTTTGAAGTTTTAACAGGTCTATTCTGATCTCATTTATAGCAGTGAATACCCAAGGCTGTTACTAGGGTAAACCATGATCAAACTACCATGAACAAACTACTATCTTAGATCAGAATTACCACCTAAATTCCTGACAAATCTGAAAGCAAAAGAGTTCAGGTTTGATTTCAAACATTTAGAATTGCTGTAAGTAGAAACATTCGTATTGTATTCTTATTATTTTGATTTATGTTTGATTTTTGCTTGTTCATTATCCTTCTTCCACTGACTTTCATTAATATTTATTGTCAGCTCTCAGCAGCTGTTTGATGAGCTGCTACTTACAAAGAGAAAGAAGAGAGGGAAATACAGCTTGATATAAAAAATGAACTCAAGTTTGGTTTCGCTAAGAAAAACAACCATAAAGTCAATGCAGTGAGATTTGTTTGTTCTTCTTCTGCTGCTTTGTAGAACCCTGGAGTTGACTTTGGAGATGTTTCTGAAAGAATAGCTCTACGACAGCGACTGCAGTGCCGGAGTTTTAAGTGGTACTTGGAGAATGTCTATCCTGAAATGAGGGTTTATAATAACACGGTCACTTATGGAGAGGTACTGTACGTCTTTGAAAACACATCCTGGCTGCCTTAGGGCGGTCCTTTCATCTTAGTAGTGGGTATCTGGCCCTACAGAGCAATTTCAAGGCATCACAAGTAGTATCAACAGAAATGCCCTCGCCTATTTTTAATCAACAAATGTGTGGCTTTGAGCGGCACTGTCCCTCTCATTGGAGTATAACAGATTAAATCATCCTCGCGAACAATGATGTGCAAGCTCCTTGGCTGTCATTTTAAAATAGAGCAGCTCTGAGAACATAGATTTGCGGTGATTGTTTTCCTGAATAGGATGCCACAGACGTCATCAGGAAAACATCAGCAGACAAGGGAGCTAAAGTAATTACACTTAATGAGAACAGTTGAGTTTGCTGAATCTTTTTCATATATAGAATCACCCCTTTTTTGTCGTTTTGCCAAACTATTTGAGGGATTACACTCCCTTTATTAGTTCATTTCTGCAGTCCTCCTTGTTCGGGATAAAAAGCAACATATCCTTGCTCAGAATTGATGGTAAGGTCACCATTTGGCAGGTCTTTATCTCATAATTAAAAAGTCGTTAGAAGAAAAACAATTTTACTGCTTTGTGCTCAGATTCTGTATCTTCTTTTTCATGTGTGTACAATATTGAGGAACACCTACTCAGAGATAGCTGACTGGATAGCTTACTTAACACTAATAAAATGCTGGATGCAAATGTGTTAGAAATATGTAGATGTTTTGGTTCACCTCAGCTGTCCAGATCGTTTCTTTCTCTTCTGTGAGCCAATCAAAACTCCCACATATTCTTGACCCCAATCTTTAAAGAAACCATGCCTTCTGTAACTTTATATCACGTGCCTATAAGATAAGGACTGCTGTCACTTATGGCTGTAAACTGGGGCGAAGTTCTAGGAGACCTCCTGGTGCATAACGTTTTTAATATTTTGTTTTAATTGTCTACTTGAACTACAATTAAATCCAAAGGCAATATATCTTCACACAAGACAACTAAATAGCCATTTTCCCTCTCTGTTCCATTTGATTGACTTCATATAAAAATAAGTCAGGCGCTTCAGATATTGATACAAAGTGCAAGTTTTATTGCATAATATCACTTTGCATCTAATATAACTACCCCTGGCAGTAACTGAGGAAAGTCATTTAGTAAATTCAACAGGAGCTATTAGTAACTGTCAGCCCTGAGAAGGCCGTTAACTGCGAAGAACATTGGCAGAACTGCCAATGTTGTGTCAGTTATAGCTGACGGTTGGCAAGCTGAGCTCTGAAAAGAAGTTTGTCTCTGTTGAATGGTTGCGTAGAAGGTTCTTGAGTCAAACAGGAAGTTTAGTGATGCAAACATCCAGTTCATTAAAATTGAGAGTAAAATGGAGCCATGCAAGCCATTTAGCTGGTGTAAACTGGCCTAGTTCCCTTTCAGTCTTACAGGCTCATAAAGATAAAACTAGAGGCTTCGTCCTAAATGAAATCAAGCTTATTATTAAATACTTTCTCTTCCGGTTATTTTCCTGGAGGAAGCGATATCTGGATTCTAGTGAGTTTAAAGGAAAATAAATGTACTGAGTAGATGTGAAACAGATTGAAACAGTAGTAAAAATATATTTCCTAGTGACTCAATTCACATTTTTTAAAGGCATGTCATAAAGCCGTCTTCATTTTCTTTAGCCTTTATAGTAGTCAAGTCATAAAATAAACCTCCTGAAATTTAACTATTGATCAGCCCTCTTATTCAATCAGATTTTCACTTACAATCGTACACTGTAATATGAAGGATTATTTACTGGGTTTTTTCCAACACCTCATGCAGCAGCTATCTCTGTATTATGGGGGTGACCAAACAGATACTTTATAGTCTAAACCAAAACTGACCTATTGGTTGTTTAAAAACGTGTATCTAAATAAATTCTTGTTTAAGATACCTGTAGAATTTTTCTGTGTCCAAAATACGTGTCTAATACTTCTAGCCTGGAGAGAAAGAAAGGCCTGGAATTTCACAAGACCTCTAGCCCAGTTTTATAGACTTGTAAATTCTTCTTGTCTGGGGAGGCACATCAATTTTTTACTTCATTGGATCTCTGAACCCACACTTTAAATATATTGAAAGCCTTCCAACACTGGCCAACACTGCTCTATCCTTTCACAGTGATGTGCTTTACATCACTTCTGTATATAACCATGTACTATATGCTCAATTCAAATAAACTGATTTTTTTTTTCACATGATTCTTTTGGTTTTATGTAAGCAATAAGAGCAAACAAAAGGATGCCATATCCAACACCAGTCCTGGGTAATTCCTAAATCGTTTGGTGAAGTCACATTCTCAACATACAGGGTCAAACTTTATATTTGTACAAGGGAAATTTTGGAGCAGAATTTGACCTGGTTTCCTTAGAGTGAATTTTTTGTGATTTTGATCCTTGAGGAACTGCTGAAAACATAGCTCTGACCCAAGGTTTGCTAAGACAGCAGGTTGTGCAAATGAGGGCTTTTCCTGGAGCAAATTTGCTATTGGCATCCTATCATATCTAGAGAATAAGTGTGTGTCTCTCAGAAAAGAACAGGTTTTTGTTCTAGTTCTTTAAATAGCTGTAGTGCAGCAAAGATTTAGCTAGACTGGACTTGCATCATACAGACTAATTTCTAATATAACTGCTTTCTTTCTGATCTGGTTATAGGTGCGTAACAGCAAAGCTAGCGGCTACTGCTTAGATCAGGGAGCCGAAGAGGATGACAAAGCAATCCTTTATCCGTGCCATGGAATGTCCTCTCAGGTAAATGGTTAAAATCCCATAATTAATGAGAAACCTTTAACTTTAAGAATTTTCAGAAGGAACAGGAAGTCATTTGGTGAATTTGAGTTGAGTTTGGCAGTACACTCCTGAGTTGCAAAGGAAGATTTCTGGCTTTACTCCAGTCCTTTTGGGTGCCCTTTCCAAGGTTGGTCAGCCTGTGAATCTATACATTGACGAAGCTAGTTAGGAAAACAGAAGAATCATGATAATTTGTTTTAATAACTGAGAAATCCACCAACTGTTAATGAATTTAGACTCTTTGTGTGAGTTAGCAGCAATTCTCATTATGGTTTGACTTATTCCAGGAATAGTGCCTCTTTAAATTAATTGCTAGTCCAATAGGCCCTTATGCAGAAATGATTTAGCAAGCAGCTGATGTGATTCCCCAAGCTGGCAAAAAGTTAAGCACATATTTAACATCTACTTCAAAGGGAATTAAGAATATCTTTTAAGTTAATACTTTTCTGAAATAGATTTTTTTTTTTTGTCAGTCCCTGTGCATATTATTATTATTTTCTTACAGATGTCTGAAGATTTTAAAATGACGTTTCTTCTTTTCATGCTCGTAGTGGTGATACTTGTTTTTTAAATACAAATTGGATATTATTTAAATCCAGGACTTGATCTTCTTTGAAATGTAATTCTAGTTTCTTTTGAAGTACCATCTGAATCAAAACTATGTTAATGAACATTCTCATGTGTAAATAAACTTTGCCCTTATCATGGACTTAACAATTATCTGAAGTTCAGTCATAAATATATTGATTTGGAGTCCTGGCTCATACATCACTGTGGATAACAAGAGTCACAAAATATAAATATTGCCTATTGTGCTTAATTGCAAGCCGGTAAAGAGTCATACCTTATTAGAGCAAAGTGAGATAGACAGTAATTCATACTGACAAAACATCCACCTTTAGCAGGATCATTATGGAGCATTTGACTGACACTTTCCTAGTAGAGGTGGAAGGAAAAGCCTTTGAGTAAGGTAACAAAATAGTGTTGCTTAATTAGATGTAAATGAGCTTTTCAAGAAGACTCTAGTTAGAGATGTCAACGCACTCAGAGTTCAGTCTCTTGCTCCATTCTAATTCTGACCAGAAAGTTGCAAATTTAAATCCTTCCAGAAAGTCCCTTTGCAACATCTAATCTCTCATCATCATGCTAGCATTGAGAAGAATAATGAAATAAATGGTTCTGACTATAATTTATTTTGCAATTTAAGTCCTTAACCTACTTATTTGCCTCCATGACTTCTGTTTCACAGAATATACCTTGACTTCCAGGAGAGGAAAATAGATGAGGGCAGAAGTTCTTGTGAATTTATTTGAAAGGAAGTATGATGTGCCCCGCTTCTCCTGCCTCACTCTTGTATATCTGGGGGCATGAAGTAGCTCACGTCTCAGTATCCATCTCTGAGCAATTTTTTCCATTAAGGAAAAGGTCATTTTCCTCTTAGTAATATGTAAACACATCGCCTAGTAGAGGATGCCTTTTGAATTGCGGGCCCTAGACTAGACACTGGGGAGCTCTTCTCAGGCGCAAATAATACAGAAAGTATTTACTGCCAAGGAAGTTGAAGTTTGTTGGTGACTTGTTAAACTTCTGGCTAACTTCTGCTGTAGGTCTTCAGCATCCTGTCTACGAGAACTTCCTGGAGAAGCCTGAAAAGCTGTTTTTAGATTATTGCCACACACTAAAGCACTGTATAAATGCATATAAAGAGAAAGTCACTCTTCCCAAACCCTTAAAATCCAGAGCATCCCATGTGTGAGAATTATAAAAGCATGAGAAAGGCAGAAAGTTAATCTGCCAAATCATCCTGTAGCACTTTCCATTTCCTTTTTATTTAAAAAAAAAAAATGGAAAAGGCAAAAAGTTTTCATCTGCAAGAAACACCAAGGAGAAGGCAGAGGTGATGTTTTATCTAAGTTAGGTATTTCACAGACAAGCACGGGTTGGAGCCACTCAAATGCAGCCAAGTTAATTAATGATTACACAGATGGAAAACTTCTATCATCTCACCACAATTTACAAAATTAATTCAGTATGAGAACCACAGCTGCACAAACCCTAATCAAGGATATTCAAGCACATAGCATGAAAGGTGTTGACAGCAAGTGTTTTAATATATTAAATAAACATTTTTAAAGTCCCTCTTCTAATCAGCCTGGGTGACTGTAGTCTGTTGTGTTTAGCTTTCAGTTTCTGATGTTTTTCATCTCAAGCACAGGGCAAAAAATAGCCCTGCTGACTTGAGATTTGGGTTAGTTGTACATGTCTGCTGAATATAAAGGAATATAGACATGGAGCTGCTTTTCACCAGTTAGGTTGTCATTGGTGCTTGATGAGTCCTACTGGTGTGAAAGCCCCTTGCTATTCAGCTACAGTCATGTTTGTTTTTCCTATATTCTGACAAGCAAATTACCAGCTATTTTAGTATACACATGGTTCCACTGAAACCAACAGAAGTCTGTCAAGTATTTAAAGAAAGCTGGGGTAGGAATAAGATTACTGTTCTCTGTGATGGTGTTCTTTTCTTCTGCTTCTTACCCTTTTGTTTCCCTTGCATAGTGCATACCTCTGAATGGTGGTGTCGTGCATTACCAGTGAAAAATAAACCCGCTCCACTGTTACTGCTCTATGAACAAAATGCCTTAAAAACCCTACATGCATTCTCAAGATCAGGTTTTACCATAAATCACATCTTTTCAATGACATCAGCTTTTAATTTCTTTATTCAAACAGGGACTAGATCTTTTGTGGATGCTCTGGAATGTGTTTAGTATGAGGTTACGTGAGTTTAGCTTAATTAATTTGATTTGAGCTAAGTCAGTGTAAGCTGAGTTAGGAGTATCCAGGCAAAATTTTTCATCAGTCTAAGGTGATTTCAAGACTTGCTTTACAGAGAAGTGGTGTCATTTTTGTATGTGTTCATTAGATCTGCAGTTTGAATCTAATCTCTTTCAGGAAAAAAGGTCTGCAAATGCTGCTGGGAGAGCAATAGGAAACAGTCCAGGGCTCAAGAAAAGTCAGAAATAAAGCATATTGTGAGCCTTGAACTGCCTGGCCTCTGCATGTGTCTTGTCTTCTACAGTCACTTGTAAAGGCTATTGGTTCTAGAGCAGTGCATAATCCCCTTTTGTAAAAGAAATTTTAAAAAAAAGGGAGGTGGCAGGGGTGTGTTAGACAACACAACCTCCCCCCAAATTAGGATCTGTTGTTTTGGAAGCTTCTTAGGAGAGTTGTAGGACAAGCAGGTTTTGAACCCTCTGAGAGCACTTGCACAGCCTCAGTGGAAATACTCTCTGTCTCAGAGTCTGTCTGAAAGGCTGTGATGTGGAGCTGATTATACAGTGCGTGAAAGAAGAGGAGAAGTTAATAAAATGGCATCTTGGGATAGAAGGGCTGCGTGGAACAGCCTCCTTCCCACCCTCTTTTCTTCCCTTTTCACACCAAGAGAAAGAGGAGGCACCGCAGCTGTGAAAGCGAGAACTCCCTCGGCATTGAGATCAAGCAGAAAGAAGGGAGATCTCGACGTTTGGATTCCTGGAGCTCACAGCTATGCAAACAGATGGAATAAGAGGAGATGAAAGGGTTTGCTTGAACTGTTGCTTGAGGGCAGATATTTAATATTTCACGTGGTAGAGCTGTGGTTTTCCAGAGGAGTGCACTGGGTAGCAGGTCTGATTGCTCAGAGCAGGACAGATGAAAAGAGAGTTTCTTGAATTGTGGGAAGCGGTGGGTGAGATTCTGTAATGAACCTGGAAATTCGGTAACTGTGATTTGTTTGTCTTATGGTGACAGGTTTTCTAGAGATTTATTTCTGTATAGCTCAATTTCTGTGTCAGTTTACAGCTTACCTTAACCTGCAGGGCTCCAGGATCATTAAAAATTTCATTTTGTTTGGAAAACAGGATTGAAAGAGAGGAATTAAATTTAGTGGAAAGCTACCAGACCCACCTGCACTTCCTATAAACAATTTCCTGTTGTTGTTTTGTGCTTTTTTTCCACTTGACTGGAAATGAGCAATCTGTAGCCAAATCCTTCAATTAAAAGCTGGTGTTTACTAATGCTTCTGGAGAAGCACCTTCCACTATTTTTGAATCCGATGTGGAGGCTTTGATAAACACCCTTTGACATCTCTTCCATTCTGCTCAGATTTCTGAATGTTGAAGGGAAAACTGTCCTGTGTTATCACAGGTACTGCAGATAGTATCAGGATTAGATCTCGGAGTATTTAATAGAGCCCTTAGCCTCAGTGTCGTTCATGTGGATCCTTGAGCTCTTTTTAAATAAAAGAGAAAAACTGAGTGAAAGTGCATCCTCATGTGAGGTATAAAACTCTGCTTCTGTTCTGCCACTTACAATGGGAGTTTGTACATACCTGAGTGTCTCAGGCCATCGAGATTTGCACAGGCTTTTTTTTTTTAAGTGAATGAGATTTAATATTCTTTAATAAAGGGGACTTTGTCATTTTATTTTGGCTGGCTGTCATTAGGAATTAATTTGACATGGTGTTTTTGTGAATCGCTTTGCTTGTTTGAGCTTCTTCTGCATGTCTCCCATAGCCTTACAGCAAAAGGGAAAAAAAAAAAAAGTGTTTTGATTTAATATGTACAGACAGTGCCTCAATAATGACATTGTTCACACCAAGAAGCATCCTCGTGTGGTTATGCCTCTGCTTCCTCTGATGTGGGCTCTGTTCTAACTGCGCTTCACGTGGTTGCGCTGAGCAGAAGTGGCAGGTGGGAAAACGATCGAGTACTTTGTCAAAGGGCAGCTGGTCTGGCAGCGAGTAGCCCATGCTCTTTTTACCACCGGCAAGATACGATTATTCACAGCATGATTCCTCCGAGGTTAATAAGGATGGCTGTAGAAAGCTAGACTCTAATTTGGGGCTTTTTGATTGACTCTTAATGATATCTCATGTACTGGTCAGTAGCAGCCAATAAATGGCAGGCACTTCTGACCTTCCTTCCCTTCCTTGTCAAGTAATTTCAGCCATATAACAGCAATAAGACCAGACAGGCAGTGAATTTCCTGGGTAATAATTGCATTTCTTCATTGGCTCAGGTCTGCACCCTGCAGCATCCAGCCTCACAGCGTACACGCCACGGAGCTGATCCATTTTGCGAACTTTTGGCACCTGGGTTCTGCACTCGACTGCTTCTAGAGTAGGAAGGGCAAAATATTATGCTGGTGTAATGACTCTGGAGTTAAACACGGAAGTGAGAAGTAGATAAGTCTGATTTGATGTACTGGCCTGCTGCCAAATTAACGTCACGCATTTCCAATTTAATATCCTTTGAAATCTTCCTCAGCAGGCTCTCTTTCAGCTGTCTAGAAAGTAGCAGTAATTAAGGGGATTACTTATTAATTTTTGCAATTTATAAACGAGGACTCCATCACTATCATAGTTATCTCGGTGCAATATGATATTGAGCTGACAGAGCACCTTCTCCCTCTAAATGAGCATCCTAAATCCACCCTTAAGGCTTTGAGGCTTTTTCAGAATAAAGAATGAAACAAATTGTAGTAGAGAAAAATCAGATTTGGAAAAGGCAGAATAAAGGGTTTGAAATCAACCTTCCTTTATCGTCACACCTGCAGGAAAGTTGAAGAGGGACTTTTTACAAGGGTAATAGTGATCGGACAAGGGGCAATGGCTTCGAACTGAAAGAGGGTAGATTTAGATTAGCAAGGAAGATGTTCTTCACCGTGAGGATGGTGAGACACTGGCACAGGTTGCCCAGGTTGCCCAGAGTCATCTACAGATGTGTCCTTAAATATTTCCCCTTGGTCCAGTATTAATATCATTATCTTATGGCATGCTGAGATTACAAGAGACCTGATTTTTTTACCTCTCTTTCTACACTGATTTCTGGGGATTATTTTTTTCCTAGGCCATTTTACTGTGAGTGATTTAAAGCAAGTGAAATCCATCACTTAAAATAGAAAAAAGGTTTTTAAAAAATTACACTCCAGTAAAAATTAACATGAGTAGTTGTGAGTAATTAAGACTTTTTATTTAAAAAACTCCTCTAAAATAATAAATGGCCCTCACCTGAAGCCTCTAATTACAGCCAGTAGCATTTACCACATCACTAAATTGTAGAACAGTTAAGCCTCGCACAAAACCAAAATAGCAGAGTGTGATTCCTTATTATGTAGGCATGAAGCATATGTTAGCAAATTTGTTGTTATTTCCCTCACGGTTTCTTTTTTTTTCTCCTTTCATATTTTTGGATAGTGGTTGCATGGTTGGATTTTTTTCAGTAACGTTTGTTTACAAAAACTAATTAGACTTGTTGCTATCAATAGCCTCTAACAGAGCTCTTAAGAACAAACTGTATGGCAAATTGACATCGTGTCCTTGTTAAATCAACTCCTGCTGAGTGGGTATGATTTACATATTGATTACTTCACTTTCTTGATTGCTCTTTCACAGTGAAAGAGCGGCTCGGGTATAGGTGGGCAGGAGAGGTGTGAAAGAAAGAAATGTTGTGACCTAGGAGAGCCACTGTGTTGATAAAACAAGTTTCCCAAGCCTTGCCCAGGAGTGCCCAACTGGCAGGGCCCCAACGCTCAGCAGGACAAGGGACTCCTCATCAGCCCTCAGCGCAGAAGCCAGCAGGGAAGGCAGCTGAGGTCGGCTTTGTGTCCCATCGCTGGAGCTGCCGTTCAAGTCTTCCCTTTCCTCTCTTCCCCAGCTTGTCCGCTACAGCTCGGAAGGTGTCCTGCAGCTGGGGCCGCTGGGCTCCACCGCCTTCCTGCCCGACTCCAAATGCCTCGTCGATGACGGGAAAGGCAGGACACCGACTCTGAAGAAGTGTGAAGATGTGCTGAGGCCAGCACAGAGGTTCTGGGATTTCACACAGGTATGGAAGAGCTCGAGCAGCTTTGCAGAAATCATCATCGTGACTAGGTTTCGTGAACTAAGATATGGGAAAGGCTTTATCCATGCTTGCTACAAATGTGCTGATGACTAAAACGACCAACGTGGGGTACAGGAATGCTGTTTTACAGGGTATTCAGTGGAAAAGGTCTTCAGATGGCTGTTCTAGGAATCCTCCTTATGCCTTCTAGAAATAGTCAGATATGTTTTCCATAGGTCATGTGCTATCCAGGACTTTTCTTATGTTATTACTAAGAATTCTGGGGTATACATTGTTGGGATTTTTAGTTATCCTTTTTGAGAATAGTCTCAATTTCTGTAGTGATTGTCAGGAACATATTTGTAATTTATTTTTTTGGTCTAGAGATTTTTGTTTCTAGAATTTTTCTAAGATCTTTCTAGATCTAGAGCTTTCAAATAATTTTTAGGAATTTCAAAGGCTTTCCTGTAGTTTCTGTAATTTCCTGTATCTTGGGGTCTGTAGAGATTCTCTGGTGCTTTTTAGAGATTTTTTTGGTGATTTCAGGGGAATTTTCTAGCAATTCCTAGGTCTACAATTATCAAAGTATTGTTTTGTCATTTTGTATGTATATCTAGTTTCTCCTAGGAATTTCTAGCACTTTCTAGGGACTTTTATCACTTGATATGTACAGGGCTTTACAGGTCTAGCACTAATTTTCTTCTAGTCTTTTCACCTTTTCTATTCCTCCTTCTAATTATTTTTTTTCTTTTTCTCAGAATGGTCCAATCATCAGCAGAGACACTGGCCGTTGTCTAGAAGTGGAAATGTCAAAGGATGCAAATTTTGGGCTCAGATTAGTCGTACAAAGGTGCTCGGGGCAAAAATGGATGATTAGAAACTGGATAAAACACGGCCGACATTGACTACCAGGGCTGAGAAGCTGCTGCTCCTGCTGTTGTCCGTTGCTCGGTGTGCCATACCTTTCAAGGCATTTCTGTTAATGCAAATTGGTTTGAACAGGACTTGGCTCTCAAGAGTCCTCCATAGTTGGGCATTCAAAGGAAAAAAAAAGAAGAGGAAAAAATCAGATATGTACATGCCCTGTTTGACTCTTCCTCGCTCCGGTAGATGACCTGGGAAGCTTAACAAGAGTTTTCTGTTGATTTGAAAATCTTGTGAAGATCAGAACACAACAGAACAGTGGGTTCCTTAAACTCTCCTAGAGGAATTAATAGATGGCTCCTTCTCTGATAAGTTCAAAGGAGAGATCCCAATACTGCCTCACAAAGAGAGTTCTCTGATGGGTAGCTTTTTAGCTTTAAGTTATTGACTGGTGCACAACTCCTATGGTGAATAATCATGTGCCTTTTTAATTGTATTTCGTATAAAAGGGGACCGGAAAAAATCCTACCTTTTCAGCATGTCTGGTTCATTGTACTAAAGAAGATCTGTAAATAACACTGGAAATATAATATAATATATGATAAATTTCAAGGTTGGTTGTTTAGGAGTCTCTATTTCTAGAAAGAGACTGTTCCACAAATGTTTACAGGTGGTTCTCAACCTTCAAGCTGCTAAAAAGGCAGCATTTTAGAGACCTCTTCTAGTTAAGACACAGGTAAATGTTGAATAGGTAAAATAGCCACAAGCTCCATTATCTTGCCATACTTTACATTTCTTGGCTGTAAAGCACTTGCATATTTACCTCTTTTGAGGCAGTAAATGTCCTAGTACATGGATGAATTTCTGGAGGCCTCAGCCCACGAGCCCTGAGAACGTGAGGGCAATGTTACCATCCTGCAGTGCTGTGCATGCAGGTGCACTGCTGTGTCGTTCCAGAAAAAAATGCCTTGGAAGCTGGATAGTCATTACTTCTGAAAATAAGTTGACTGACTTAGGCACCATCTGTGGAATTTTACAACTTGGACCTTCAGTTCTGTTACCCATCCTGTGAAAATGTCAAATGTGAGCAAACGCGCTTTGTGAGCACTGTCTAGACAAAGTTCCTGAACAAACTAAGTCTATTTGAAAAATAAACAAAAACCTAGTGGTAAGAGGGCAAATTAGAGTAAGAACTAAGCAGCATATATAAATACTGTTACTCTGAAATAATATAAGTATTTTACTGTAGTTGACCCATCGACAGCATCTTTGTGAACCTGGATTTAATCATATGTTGAGTGGTTCTTGCAGTTTCTGTGCACAGATTGCCAGAGCAATCACAAGGTCTTATCCGAAAGGCTTTCAGAGCTGATGGCCACTGGCCACATCAGCAGCCTTTGGGTGCGATAGCCATGGCAGAAGATTCAGTCATAGTGAAGGAGAGAAAAAGACAGTATCTATTAACTTCACTGCTTAATATTTTAATGTAATTTTTTTAAAAAAATAAGTTTTCTTTTACTGAACCATGAAAACAGGTAATTGCAGATGCTGTCGTACCGTGAATCTTGGTGATCTGTTTCTTTGAAGAGTTGTTGCCATTCTGATTTCAAGGCATGCTGTACAAAATACAATGGAAACAAAATTAGTTTTTCAAGGGCGTGACATGTAATAAAATATTTACTTTTAACGTGCAAAATCCATCCATTCTTGTCAACTCTTGGTGGGTGTCTAGACATCATATCAATATATTTTGCCCCAATTTTATTTTTGAAACAGAGTGTGCAAGGTGTAATACACAGCCAATTCTCCTCGAGTTTATTTGTGGCTAGTTGCTGATCTTTATTTATGTCACGTGGATCAGGTTATGCATGAATATATAAAACATAATAATTCCAGGTGAGATTCTAAATATAAAAATGTTTAAAATTCTGTGTTTGTGATTGTTTGAACATGACCTCCCAAACAACGTAATAAACCCTGCAGAGAGAGGTAGCATCCTTAGTAAGTCAAAAAAATACGGTAAATAATCATGAATGAGCTCAGAATTGCAGCCTTTCTGCGGGTCTTAAACAGGTAGGAAGCTTCAGGCTAAATATAGATTGGGAAGAGTTGCCCTGCATTTAACCTCCTAGAGTTAACCTCTTAGACGGTTTAAATGGGCAGTTACCATCTATGAAGCAGGTGGTCCCCACTTTGTGCAGGGGTTCTGTTTGTAAGTGACTTTTCGTGCTCTCCAGATACAATTTCTCCCTTTTAAATGGTATGAAAGCTCTATTCTTTTGTTTATTCTGATGGAATTTTGCTCCTTGAAATGTTTGGCTGAGGGCGGTGAGAAGGCAAAAGAAGGAGAAGACCAGGTGAGATTTACCAGGTGAGCTTTGGGAGGAGTACTGTCACAGGTCATTCACACCATTTGTAGTCTTTCCAGTGAGAAAGTGCTAACTATTTTATATGAGAATGGCTGGAATTTTGTCCTGGGTTTAAGCCCAGCCCTAACCCTCGACAAATTTGAAAGTAGTTATATATCAGTGTGACTACTGAATGCCTAAGTAATTCCCCCTCTTTTTTTTTTTTTCCCTTGACTTGAATTGCCAATCTACGCTTGATCCTTGGTTAGCAATGGGGCAGCAAGCCTTTCAAATCCTGGGTAAATAGAAAGTGAAGCCTGAATATATTTGGAGGAATATCAGGTTTTACATTTACTATCCTACAAGGGGTGTTGCGTTTGCGGTTTAGGAGAGATTTGAAGCTGAGCAGACCAAATCTGCATTTAGTGGCAAAGATTTCATGTAAGCGTGACAAGCCTTCACTATCACACCACCACAATGAATGGGAATTGGTTGACTTGGAATTTTGCTGCTGCACATTTTCAGTGCCCAGTGCAAAGCATTTGATTGTGGCCACACGGTCTAACTCCAAGTGGTGACTCCTGGCAAGCTTTGAGCGCAGAGGCCACGTGCTGTGGATGGCTTGCAAGAACCAGATTTTCAGTATAAGAAGGAAAGCTGATAGATAAATGGCTCCAAGATTTACAGAATAATATAAAAGAATTCAAATAACTCTTTAAGCTGGAGTTGGTATTTTCTGTGGTTGTTGGGTTTTTTAAGATTTACTGAAACAACTTCTTATATTTGAAAAACACATTTGGTATTTTTTGTGGTTGTTGGGTTTTTTAAGATTCACTGAAACAACTTCTTATATTTGAAAAACACATCTGTTGGATTATTCTTACTTTAGTCTTTATCTGTATGAGCCACTGCTTTGGCCGTGGTATTAACATGGTGACTCTGCATGTGAGAGGGTCTTAAATATTCTCTCATAAAAGGAATAATAATAAAAAAACCCTTGAGTATTATCTGTTTTAACCGAAGTCTATGGGTCTTTTGTCAGTACTTCACCTCTTAGTAAAATCTGAAGTCCTGCTTATTGTAGTTTCAAATTTTCAGTCTTGTTTTGCATAGTACAGCAGTCCCGATATTATGAAAAGCATTTAATATAGCACAATATGCCTGGTAGAGAAAACTTGAACCAAAGTCTTCACTTCCTATTTTGCTTGATTTATGAGATACTGGAGTCCAATACTAGGTGGTAGGACAGAAGAATAGAAGGTGAGAAAGAACATCAAGTCTAGTGCTTTTCTGTCAAAGCCAAACCAGTAAAAACCCCACTTTTGTAAGCATGTCAAGATCCCTAGAAACTAGTTTGAGAGGGGAAAAAAGAAAAGCCTTTTCCATTGAGAGCTATAAACTGTTTTCCAAGCTGGATTTATTCTTGGTTTGATTAAAGCCATTTGCTCCTCAGCCAAAATTGTCCTTTAGCTTTATTGGCCCTCTGGTTCCTGAGGCATGCAAACCTCCAGTGGAAAGCAACTAAGAAGAGCTAGAAAATGTGTTGTTGAAGGACCCAATGGATTGCTCTGCAATTACATGAAGATCTATGTTGTGCTCATCCATGAGCTGTGAGAACTCTTCAGAACTGTTCCACTAAGAAGTTAAATTCTTGTTCCATAGAAGTGAGCTAAGACAAAAAAATTGAAACAAACAAAAGGTCTTCATATATATATTCTGAAAATGTCAACTATCTATTTTGTTTCAGTGAATAGTTTGGGGCTTGGTGTATCTGAAGATCAGTCCTTTTCAGTCCTTGGTTTCTTCTCATCAGCTTGCTCCTTTTTAAAAACTGTGATCTAGTAGATGAAAACCTCACTTGCTGTGTGACAAGGGGTGTAATCTGTATGACACAGGACAGCTGCAATTTTAAGTACTTAAGCCAGAGCTAATAAGATTTAATGAAATAGCACCAGTCCTAAACTGTTCTTTAGATCAATTACACAGCATGTAATTCCTTCAGTATCCAGTATTCATTTGGAATGGTTCATTAACAGCACATTACAGCCTGTTCTGGGACCCAATGAGTTGGGCTGTAAGAACTTTAATAGAAGTTGGGAGTTCAAAGGGAGTTCTATTATTATTCAGTTAGGACACAAATACCTTTGTGGGTTTTTTCATGAATAGATTTGGGAGGAAGAACAACTGTTAGAACTGAAAATGTTCCTAGCAATGAAGTTTCATTTTTGAGTGCTGCTATTTTGACTGCCTGCTTCTTGCTGCTAATCAAGGCCGATTGTGAGGTCCTGCCATAGATAAAAGATGGTATTGAAAGTTAGGAGAGCTAGCTAACGACCTGGAGAGAAAACAAAGAGTAATCAGGTCTTCATGTGTCGTACATTGTAGCGGATTTTAGAATGGTTTCATAAAATATATTGACTTATATTACAAAAGCGTTAAAGAGATGCGATTAAAGGTATTGAATTCATGGATTGTCCTAAGTAAAAACATTTTCTTTGGCCAAGAATACTTACTTATAAGTACCCCAGTGAAGCAATATATGGCAACCTGATTTTGAAGAACAGAATTTCTGAATCAAGAGCATTCTTCAAAGACGTGGAGAAGCACTTGCTACTTTCCAGAGGGTTGCAGTTTTCCATTGACCATCAACACGTACTGCACAGTTTTCGAACGCTTTGTAATTGAAAAAATAATGCAGCAACTGGAATGCAAGTTGTGACTGCAAATAATTTTTCATTTTATGGCGTATCATCAAATCTATTTGTATTTACACATGAAAAGTTAATAAATTACTATGCATTTTATTGCTGACATGAGCGCTGTATTTTGTATCGTGTA